GGTATTTATCTTCTAATTTCCCTCCCAATTGAGAACTCTGCCGCACACAGGCATGATGCCATTCTTTCTAACTAGAAGAAATTCAAAATACTGATGGCATAAACGGTAGAAAATATGCAGAAGCTTACCTATTTGCATTCCTGAAAATCTCACATTCATATCCACACTTAATTACTGCCATTTTTGAAGTATATTAGACATTAACACGATGTTGCGGGTTCTGCTAGAATAAAGAGCAACATTTACGCTAACATTCCAAGTGAAATTGTTTGCATCTCCAAACGTTGGTCAAAAGTATATTGCTGACCGAACGCAGGATCAAGAAATGTTTCAAGAACAATTTCATCTTTAGTGACTAAGCAAACTCGGCGTGACAGAAATCATCATTTCCATCATCATGACTATGGAATACCCATCATTACTAATCAGAACTTATGTCATCCACTGAAATGTAATAAGTTGGCTTACTGTGTTCCATTCGGATTCGCTTAGTTATCCCGCCGATGAAAACACGAATTGCGACTATTCCCCTCTTATTTTAACTTGAAACTGGAGTATAAGAGAAATACGCTTCATAAACGACAGCAAACTTATCAAACACGCCAATTACGGTGTTTCTTCGATTTCTTCCTCTTCCTTAGTTTCCGATTCGCGTCGAGGTTTATGCTGCGCAATACGCACTCCTCCGGAGACTTTCACTTAAACAGCAGTTTATAGTACTGCTCACACCATTATCTATCAATTCCTGCTTACCGGCGGGCAGATGGCCGCCCTTCAAGTCTTCTTTTTCTTCCTTGACACTTGACATCTAAAGTAACATCAGAAAGTACGACGACTACGATTCCCATCGTACTGCCACTATCCAAGGGAACATTCTGGGCTGAGGAAGCAAGGTGAGGGAATATTTTGAATATCTATGCGCCATGAAAGACTGTTATTATAAAAGTTTACACAACCTTCTCATTCAAATGGAAAAAAATTTGCGCACTGGCATCTAAACGCCGTTGATATCTATAGTTCTGACTCTGAGGTCTCCTTATGAGCAAGGAAATACGATTACTCCATAGACTGCACTGTATCTACAGCAGCAGGTGTGATGCACTATGATATTTGAATCTGATGCACTATCAAGCAGTATTTCGACTCAAACGATGTAATCTTCTGATTGACTTGATGATGGAAAAACACCAAAACGAATCGAACAATGGTGTCCACATAGCCAATTCAGTCTTGCTAAAAACTAAAAAAAACTCATACATGTCGGCATTATCATTGCTTCACTGCTTTGCTGACAAATAGAAATTCGCGGCACTTTGCCATATCGAGTCTCTAATCTGCCAACTCTTATAAAAAAGCCGAAGCATGCATCATAAGACTACAGAGTCGGACACTATAACAGCGCAGAATATTCAGTTAAAGCTTGTGATGCGTGCAATGAGATTAATCTAGAAGGTCGCTGATCTATCACAGGTTGTGGGGCCTCAAGTTGGAATACAATCGAAGTAAAACGCAAATGTAATGAAGCCTTCGAAATGTTATGTCTGAGTAAACGAAGTTTCATAGAAAACAGCTCGCCAATGATACGAGAGGCTTCATGGGAGAAATTATTGTAAGGAAATATCGAACAGCTGGCCACTATAAAAAACAATTAAAGTTGTGCCAACAAAACATAAACAACATGATCGGAAAAACAGACATCACTATTAATGTAACTTCATATTGAAGAAAGAAATATGCCAGATAGCCATCAAGCGAAAGTTTTCAACAAATACCGCTTGCTGTCGTGCAAGTGAAAAACTAGATTATCATTATTTAGAATTATTGAGAATATTCGACCTTAATAAAAGACGTCTTCATTAGAAAAATGACCGCAGAGTAAAATAAGGATTCAATGACAGATCTCCCGCCGTGCAGACATAAACCTTAATGCATAATTATATAGGTTATTCTCGTGTTCAGCAGTGAAAACAATGTAGTAACCGCTGGGAGAGCTATTTGTATTCTATGCAATTCCGTACAGAAGAAAGGCACTGATTACAAGCCCGGATGGAAGAATTGGTGAGCAATGCCAGTATTAGTCTGAAAAGAAAGTGCGGCAAAAATTTTGCCTATACCATCTATCCTCAAAGCGGAGGAGCGTGCCTTGTGAGAAAGACAATGAAAGAGCCCGC